CAGATTGACAAACGAGGATGTAAATAGACAAAAAAAAATCAAAAATTTTCTCTCCGTTTCCCTACACTCTCGTCCTCTCTTAATGACAAATTTCGATAAAATTCCTAAAAAAAAAAAAATTAAAATTAGTATACAACAATAAAATAAATTTTCAACTAAAATATTAGTTCCAATAAAAATTCAGTCCATAGTTACAACATATAAGAAAAAAAAAAACCGTTGACAAGCGTGCATGCTTTTTACGGATTGGACCATTAAGGAAAGAACTTTAATGAAATAATTTATTCCATTCTGCGAACTAAACATAAACAATTAAAAATACAACGTAAATATGGAAAAAAGTGATCATAAAATTCGAATATTTCTGGTAGTCGACCCAGTCACTAAAAAAGTTTGAAAAAATTCTTTTTTTTGGGATTTTTTACTAAAAGAAAAATTTGCAAATGCAAAAAAGTTCTTCTGTTCTTATTTTATTTTAAAATCAGGTAAAAAGAAACGGTGTAAAAAAAGAGTCGGGTGTGGATATTGTTTTTTTTTTTTTTTTTTTTTTTGGGAATCTGGAATAATATCTGAAATAATGAATTAGAAAAAAATCTTAAATTTAAGGAAAAACAAGAGAAGTCTTTCTATTCGATTTTTTATTATTGTTATTATTATTTTTTTTGTTTTTTATTTTAAATATTCCTTTAAAATCGTGCCTGAACCGACAAAAGCGTAATAAATTTTAACAGTTGTGACCAGTTTTTGAAAATGTTGTTTATATGCTTTCGTACTGTATACCATCATTACACACACACATACACACATATATATATATATATATATATTTATATATATTTGTTTGTATGGGCCCAAGTATACGCCTAAGTATATATATATATATATATATATATTGTGATTGTATTGTATGTAATACAATTACAATTTGTTTAGATTTAAGTTAACGCTTGCAAAACGAGCGCATATATTACTTTACATAGTAATTGCAACTTATTGTATATTTTTCGTTATAGGCAAACGTAAACGTAAACATAAACATATCCACATTCATGAACGTACATGCATAACCTAAGTATAAATATACTAACAACATATTTGTTAAGTAGCTGTTGTTTGTTGTTTAAATGAAAATATTTTTCATTTCCACGCAGAAAGAGAGAGAGAGAGAGAGAGAGAGAAAGAGAGGGAGAGAAAAAGAGATAAGTGGCGCAAAGTACAGATATATATAATACATGTGTACAATCCGTCCTTTGTGTAATCCATATATTATACATTGTGACTGTGACTACTTGCTTGTTATTATATATCAGTAACATTAAGTGCATTGCATAGCTGACGTTTTTCTTTTTCTTTATTTTATATATCATACCTTATACCACTTATAGTACGGATATATCAAATTGATGGGAATTTATGTAACACTAAGAAGAAAATTTGAAATATATTTTCTGAATTATATCCCAAATCAATTTAAGCATATCTCTAACCATCCGTCCATATGATGTGTGTTTATGTATATTTATAAAGAACGCAAGAATAGCAACTCTGTACGACATTTTGATAAAATTTGAAAATCGATTAAAGCAAGCCATGTATACGACGATGCTTCTTCAAAAATTGATTTTGCAACTTTTCTTCTATCCCATGGAACTTTTTATTGAACCTCTTTCCATACAAATGTTTTGATGAAAGAAAAGAGCTTAATGAAGACAGTCACTTTTGAATTACAAATTTATTACTGCAAGCTCGGGCCAAATCGGTCTATTTTTCGAATCGGTCTGGTTTTAAAACTTTTTTTCTGTCCTATAAAACTCTTTATTGAAACGAGCTTAATGAAAACAGTCTCAATCAAAATCCAAATCGGTCTATTTTTCGAACCGCATTCCACATATAAGGATTTTCATGAACTCCTTATGACAATGATGGTATAGATAATGAAGAAGTTCTGGTCTATGGTAGTTTTTTGGATGCAAAAAAGGTCAAAAATTAATTTTGAGATGAAATAAAGTACGAGAGTTAATAGTCGGCGATGCTCGATAGGCATAAGCTTTAACTTGTTTTGATTTGTTTTGTTATTGTTGAACTTTAACAGGGTGGATACACTTACTCGAACGAACACGTACGGAAAATTTACAAAAGAAATTCAGAGCATATTAGAAAAAAAAAAAAGAGGAGAAGAAGAAGAAAAATAAATAAACATGAAAAACAGTTAAAGTTTGTGAAAATTTCTCACTTTTGTGTTGCACTATTTCACAAACCATTGTAAAAATACGGTATACGGATATACATGTGAGTTTGTGTGCGCATGTGTGCATGCGTGTGTTTGTTTTTCTATTTCCCAACGTACTCTTAATTGTAATCATTAAGGTTTTTTTTTTTTTGCGCTTATGTTCATGTTCAACCTAATATCGTAATGGCTTTCAGGAGGAATGTGTTGAATATTAAAAGCGCAAACACTGGCCAACAATGTCTGACATGATGTAAATTTTGCGACGAGGAAAGAAAAATAAAATTGAATATTAATATTAAAAAAAAAAAATATATATATATATATACATATATATATATATGCATATATATATATAAATTTTACTCACGGTCAATAACCAGGCGTATCGACACTTAATCGCATACCTTTTCTGGCGTCTGTTTCGCGTGCCTAGACATTGACCACCATCGGTGCCGAGCTGTATTTTAAATATATGTTAAACGTTTTCCTTTTTGCTGGACATATTTCCATAAACATTTCGCAAACACCTGATAAATTGTTTTCAATAGCATAGCAGTTACAAGTGCTTGTCGCGATTGTTGTTGTTGTTGTTATTTTCTATTGAATTTATAAATAAACCATCTTTTGAAAGTGCATAAGAAGTGCTTTATCGCTTTCCAAATTAATCGTAATCACTTGGATTTTTGTTGTTCGTAACGTAATTGTTTTTTGTTTTCCTTTTTTCTTTTTTTTTTTTTTAAATATTTTCTATTTAAGGATTACATTTTTTCTTTCATTGTATGTCATTATTGTTTAGAAATTTATTTAAGCGTATATGTAGATATAAAAAAAGAAAAGAAGTTTCTTCCGTAACTTCAAACTTCATAGCAACGGAGACACACAAGACAGATAGTCACAAGACATCCCAAGATTTTATTCGAAACTCAAACTAATCTCATGGACTCTCTTTGCTTCTGTTATCAATAACAGTAGTAATGCTGTTAATGAGCAGCCATTTGACTGGATGCCCCTTCAGAAATCTGTTAAAATTTTCTCAATGTGACGTCACACGATATCAAACATTCAAGCAGTAAAAGTAGATAGATTTTTCAGTTTTTAAGTGAATATGCGCTATGGCATACATTTTTTTGGTATAGAAAAATTCGAAATTATATGTTGACCAAATGCTTAATAAAATTCTCTGAAAACGGTCACCAAATGCTTTAATAAAATTATCTGCAAATATTCTATGAAGAAATCGAACGAAACTTCATATTCTTCTAAAGGACGCCTTGGGAAACAGGTCAATTCAATAAATAGATAGCACAACCCGTACAGTAACTCATATGTGATATAAAAAATTACAGAAATATGTCAAACAGATATTTGTAAAATTAATGGATACTTCAATAATAAGTCAATTATACAAAGATCTATTATCCCTACAGCATAACTCTTTACACCCTATGCCACTTGTAGTACGGGGTACATTAAATTGTGTACGGAGGTACACTGCCCTCAAAAGGGCTTAAGATAGACACATTTTTTCTTATGTCCATCGCTTCCGAATCATTTTGTAAGGTTGGCTGTCCGTCTGTCTGTCCATGTTTGTGCATCTTTTCAGCCTGCAGACCGCAATTTTTGAGATATTTTGAAAAAATTTTTTGCACTGACATCTTGTGATGCAAGATTGAACGTTAGTGAAATTGGTTCGGATCGGTCCGCCTTTCCGACCACTCCCGAAGTAACGACTTAAAGGATTGCAATTTTCACAATTTCTCAGCAAAAGTCCCTACGTAATAATACTTTGACATTCTAAATTGGTATAAAAAATTTGGTTCGACTGGATCGATTTTTTGAAGCACCTCTCATATAAGCGTTTATGGTAAAAAGGTGCGATTTGCAATACTTCGTGGTGAAAGCTGAAAAGCAATCAACCTTTCCGAATTTGGACCACGTAGGTCCAATGTTTCGATACCACCACATAGGCCTTCTCAGGCTCATATGCCAAAAAGGACTTGTTGTTAATGGTTTGTGGTAAAAATTTGCTT